AGGTGTATAATTTCTTAATTTAGTTTTTGATTTTAATCTTTTTTCTCAATATATTTGTATTATTTTTGACTGTCCTGTTTGTCGTAGCGTCCTAATCAAGATTTTCAATCCATATTGAATTAATTCATCATATTTCTTGAATCTGTGATATTCTTGCCGTACGTGCTGGCTTCATAAAAATTATGTTTCCAGCTAGTTTTGCCGTATTTTTTGACGACTTTAGATATACTTGTTAAGGCAAATTATGCTTGCTAAGGTGTGTCGACAGATCACGAGACTATAGAGGTCACGCGACCATCTTATGTTACATAGATGAACAGTTTTGATTGACAGCTGATCACAAAGAACTTCAACTGAGTTCAAAATATAAATTCTATTGAAAAGGTCCCTAGTGGATGACAATGAAGTTGGGAAGCATTCTTATTATGGATTGAAGGATGCTGTCAATAGTGATTTAAATAAATATACAGAACTCCATCCCTGAGTCAATAGAGTGTTATTCTTTCCTGCGGCATGCATTTTGATTGGTTAGATACTGGATTCAGTTTGGTACATAGTTGGTAATATGTCAGCAGTTCAATAATGATCTCCACATCAGTGAAGGAGACTGAAGCTTCAATTTTTCAACCAAAAAATCTATGATCATTAATTGTGTTTAATTAGCATTTCTGTTGACAGCAGGGCTGTCAACTCTGATTGGTCTGATAATCTGATTGGTCAGAAATAAACCAATCGCATCAAATGTTACAAAGCGAAAGACGTCTTTTCGCGTGCTTTTTGACGCGCTGTGACGTCATGTCCCTTCTCTATCAATTCTCCAGATTTGAATATCTTGGGGGTTGACAGCCCTGTGACAGTGCTCTTAGGCATCTCCCTTTTGTTTCAAAAGTTATGAATATTTATTAATGATGAATAATTATAAATAATACTTTGAATATCTGATCAATGTTAAAGCAACAGCAGTGGTCAACTATCACTGCATATGTTTTTGTTAAAATAATATTTTCCTATTTATTCTTATTCTTATAATTTTATTTAGATTTATATCATAAATCAAGAATGTACCCACATTCTTGATTTATGATTTATAAAATAATTGGGATACTATGAGAGCTATGATTGGATCGAAAACCATGTTTGATGAGAGTATCAAAACACGCTACCATCATTTTTAATCTATCATGCGCACTCATTGGTTAGTTTGAATAAGACTGCACGTAGGGAGAATTTACTTAGACTTTGCTTTTTTTCGATTTTTTTGCTCGTTTGTWATTTTATAAAACAAATCAAAAACAGTTTTCTGTGTTTGATACTCTGATCAAAGCACTTGGGATGTTGGGAGAACACTTGAGAAGCTGGAAACCACTCCGCTACGCGTGGTGGTTTCCTATGCTCCTCTCGTGTTCTCTCAACATCCCGCGTGTTTTGATCAGAGTATCAAACACAGAAAACTGTTTTTGATCTGTTAAATAAATCTAAATAAAATTATAAGCATGTGTCAACTAAAGAACTTGAATGTTAAGCTTTTATGCAAGACATAAGCCATTAAGTTTAAGATAATTCTAATTTGTTTTGTTGTACAGCTGTACAGTGATGTGTAAAACAGGTCAAAGAATCATCTTTTTATTGTGATGTTTTTATTCTTTTGCTTACAGACTCATGAAGTCTCGAGTCATTGCTATAGATACTAGCTTCTTTAGAATAATCACTGATTGTAAACAAGCTAATGTCAGAATAGAAGATCTGACAGAAAAGGAAGCAAAGCAGAGGTCATATGCAACACCTATCCATGTACATTTAATACTATGTTGAATCAATATTCCATTGAATAAACATGGACGAAGAAGAAAGGTAAGATGTTGTATGGTTAAGCTACTGTATCTACTTTGTGGAAAACATTTWAAAATAATATTGTCCAATAATATAATTGCTTGCTAAAAAATGTGAGTGCTTTTCCTCTTGTGGTTAACTTAAATTACTGTGTATATAATGATCATTTATGAGATAAAAATACCATAGATGTAATACTACCAGACTTTAATCAATACTAATTTAGTGGGTGTGTCTTAAACAGGAACTACTGTTGCCTGGCCTTACTTCTGTTAAGAGTAGGAAATCCATGTCTGCGTCGTTACTTCAAAAATCAGTGGAATGCTGCAGTAAAATACATACCTTGGACTGACTGTGCTCAGAATGGAGCTGACCTGCTGCGGATGTTTAAGCCTCTTCCATATGAAAAGAATGCAGTGAGATCTGGTGATACATCACAATGGGACATGTCTCTTTTGGTCAAAACTCTACTTTATTCACGGCCACCATTTGTTGTAGCAGCTAATCTGGTAGCAGCCCTTAAAACGTTAAAAGAAATGCGAAACAAGTTGTGCCACTCTCCAATTCCAAGGGTTGAAGCTACTGATTTCCAAACATCATGGAGGGATGGATGTCATGCACTGAGCTTATTTGGTGCTACTGCTGGGGACTTTGATAAAGTGGAACAAGGTGAGTGTGATATTTCAGATAGATCACATCCATCATGTATATCATTCAGCACTATTTACAGTCATGTAGTCATGGAATAGAGTAGGAATAGAATGGATTAGAACAGAATGAAATAAAACGTAAGAAAACAGAATAGAATAAGAATAGAATGGAATAGAGTATGAATAGAATGGATTAGAACACATTGAAATAGGATGAAAGAGAACAGAATAGAATAAGAATACAATAGAATAGAGTATGAATAGAATGGATCAGAACACAATGAAATAGAACAGGATAGAATAGAATAAGAATAGAATAGAATAGAGGATTCAATTTTTTCAATTCACTCTGATGAGCTAGTGTGAGTCGCTGTTTTGGTGTTGTGGGCAGTATATATGTCATTGTTTCTGATATTATACGGTGTCGGTAAGTTAATTGAGTGGTTTAGGGGATGATGCTTAAACTTGTTAATTAAACCAACTCTCCAGCACAAGTTGTTTCTGCCTATTAGCCTGTATCACACGGCGGCCATGTTTATTCTCATCAGAATAAAAACCTTTGCTTCACCAGCATAAATTAATTCTCAAGTGCTTGAATTTGAGGCTACGCATGGTGGAATCTAGTGTTCAATCCAACATGGCTGCCACATGAATATTAGGCCCATTGTTGCAAAAAGAAAGGCATTCACTGGATTCCCAGTCTATCGTATGACCAGTCTTGGTATGATGCCTGGCAATGTTTTTAGGTTCATTGTGTTTTTGGACAGCACTTTGATGTCCTTTACATCTGATATTAAATGATCTGACTTCTGCTCAAGTTGTTGAAACGTCAGTCCCATCAAACAGTCCTTCTCATCCAGGACTACAACCACCCGGATGATCATAATACTTTGATTAACATTCATTCACCTGGGTTCAGACTGTTCTATACAATACGAATAGAATGGATTAGAACAGAAT